TAGGTGTACCTCTGGATAGTCGCACACCATGCTCTGTCCGTCAAAGAAAAGACTTTATTGCCTATAAGGGCTGCCATTCTGTGGACAGAGTTGTCATGACTGAATGTGAAGGAACATGTGGAACCTTCTCGCTGTAAGTAAACTGATCAGACAATGAGATTTGAATTCTGCTGTCACTGAGCTTGTTTATATAAAAGGAACAATAAATAGGTAGACTACAGAATGGTAGAAGACCTGAAATTATGAGCTTGCCAAATTGTGGGCACAAAATCATGAAATCTGTGACTGGACAGTTGATTTGTCTTAATACAAATCAGAAAAGGGTATTAAATTGCCTTGGGATTCAGACAGCTATGATAAGGTCTGTTCATCCATTAAAAGCTGGTTTGTCTGTCATTTGTGTCAGACCCCCTGGGCTAGAAATCATCACAAAAGAACATGGATTATTTCCTGTAATGGGAATGAGCCCAGAGAGCAGTCAGACCTGATGCTCATAAGCTGAAAAGCTGCTTCTCAGTAATTAACATCTAAAACGAAATACACATACATCTTTTAAAGGAAGATTCAAACATGCACAATTTTTATACAGTCTTTACTGTAATCAGAAAACAAATACTTTAGGGGTGGTGCTAGTAGGTAGTTTCACTGTGTATTTTTCTCTGAAATGAGAGAATCTACAAGAAAGTGGCTATAAGGAAGTGGCTATTGGACACCTGGTACTGAGTTATTAAAACACTGGAAAAACATAATTCTAACTCCCCAAAGAAACTGTCATTTGCTGCCTATCACTGAATATGCCACAGGGCACCTTACTTGGGAGAAAACTGATCTTTAGTGTCAGATTGAACTCCAATTAACCTGTGGGTTTACTAGTATTTTGAAATACCCTATCATCTTATAGTCTTGCTGTGGTTGCCTCAGCACACAAATACAAGAAAAAGATGGCTCTTGACACAGTTTATAGCCTGATATTGACAGGTTCTGCAGGTTAGGAATGGTGGTCAGGAAGCTGATGAACACAAGGCTGAAAAATATACTTTGCTGTGAGGAAGGAACAGAAAGAGCTGCTTCTTCCCCTTCTTGTTAATACTGCCTAGTTTGGGATATGCACTTTGATTCACACGTTGCAATTGTAGCCCTTGTAGCCAATTGATTGATGTGATGCCATTGTAGATGACATTGTAGCTACTTGTCTATGCAGTTTTCTTACTCAGGTCATGGCTCTCTCTGCCCTTAATTGTTGATCTGGTGTATTTAACATCCACCAGCACTGGGTTGATGAGAGGAATCTAAGGAAGCTGAGCTCCTAGAACTCACTGGACTTTTTTACTAGGACTTCAATACGAATTGTTTTACCAGAAAAAATCTTGGCAAACGCAATGAATTTTAAAAGCATATTGTTATAACCACTGCTCTGTCAGATGAACTTAGCACTTTCATTAGCCACAACTGTGGCTCTTCTACGTATTATTCCAGACTTCTCACAGGAGTTCTGTACCTAATTTCACCCTCTCCTCTGTAAGCTGGGTTCTGGCACAGAGTAATGTTATCATTTTCCATGTTAACAGATACTCTGCTGAGGCCAATTCTATGGAGCACAGCTGTTCCTGCTGCAGGGAATCAAGGACTACTGTGAGGGAAGTGGAACTGAAATGCCCCATTGGACATTCAATTTCACATAAGTATGTATACGTGGAAAGCTGCAGCTGTCAGGACACGGAGTGCAACATCTCCCAATCCACTGAGTTGCAGAATGCAGAAGAAAATGACAAGGCGAGCACTCTGAACCGTATCAAGAGAGCCATCAGCTTAACATTGAAATGAAGGGGAAAAAACCTAACAGAATTCAGATAAAAGGACTATGCACCATTCTCATCTTCCTTGACTGCTTTTGAACTTTTCCCAGTTACTGTATCCTGTTTGTTCTCTGATTATTTTTAACAGTGCTGTATTTATTTGTGCACAAAGAAGACAAATTTGTATTCCAAGTGCACAACCTCTTGGGTCCTTTTACAATCAGCTTATTTTCTCTGAATGATTAAAAGCACATTTCAAAAAACATGGGTTTTGTACTTATTCACATGCTGTCTTGATGAGCCTGAGTTTTAGAAGTGAAGAAAAGATCTTTTTCAAGACACAGGACGTCAACTGACATATTTCCTAAATTTTTCTCGTATCTATTTCTGGGTCCTTAAAAAATGAAATATCAGAAGGTACTATCTGGACAACCCAATGTCTAAGGTGGGGCAGAAGTTGATGCTGTCTGCCAGAACAAAGCCAAAGATTAATAATGCATCATAAAGTGATTCAGATGACTCGGAGAAACTTCTAGTTCAGCATAGGATCTCATTTTAGCAGGGCTGTGTATGTTAGAACTGTCTCAGTTCATCACTGTATTTTCACTAAAAAAGTAGTTCCTTTAGCTGTGATAATATTAAGTTCATTCACAGTGCTTGAGGGATGTACAGTTAATATTATAGTAAGAGGTCTCCAAATTCCAATGTCTGCAAAACAGATGCCTGTCTCTGAGGTAGTAATCCTAGGCTTCATCGACAGGAAATGGAGAGAAATAGCCATTTGCGACATTACTTTTCTCACAGAAAAGGACATATCCAAAGGAGGTTAGCTGAATTGCATTCTAAAGTGCCTGTTTTTCTGATCTTACTATAAGGGGAGCTGAAGGAGATTAGCTCAGAGATGGACACATCTCTTGAATCATCTGAAGTACGAGTGTAATCCACACCTTCTGTTCTGTGTGAAAAATGCTTTTCATATTATTTTGTCTCTGTTAATGAACACAAATTGTGCTTTACCCTTCTGGAAACTTGAAGTAACTGCTTGAGCCACAGCCAACCTGAATATAAGCATCTTTGCTACCTAAAGAATTGGTGGCAGCACTTTGTGCTACTACTAGCCCTGCCAAATGTGTTGCAGCTTAGAATGCAGACACTGGTAGGAATGCACAGAAAATGAAACTCCAGAAGTTTTGCATCTTTAGAGTACTATGATTAGTGAGCTAATTTCTGTGGAGGGGGAGAGGTATCTGATCTAAGAAAGAAGTTCCATCAGTTTACAAAGCAAGCTCCAGAACTAATTGAAGCCTGGTGTCTGCTTTAGTATGGGTTTCTAAGGATTTCTATCTCTAGGTTCATTGTGAGATGTGACTGAGACTTTTCTCCTGGGGCATTTACAAGGTCACCCTCCTCTGTGGATCCTTTGTTGTCTAACAATTTTTGTGCTGACACTACAGCCATACTTTTTCTTGAGTTGTTTGCAAAAACCACTTTTCTCAAAATCTGTTGACATTTAGCTGTCTTTGAGATCTTCATTTTTGCAGTTAAATTCAGCTGAAGGCAGCAAATAGCTTCTGGAGACAAACAGATATAAGGTGTGATCAAATCTGCCTTGTTTCCTATGAAAAAGAGATAAAATATTCCAAGTCAGTAGTGGCATTTTCCTGCACAATATATTTACACTGAAGACTGAAATATCCCTTGCTTCATTTTTTTCATTTGTTCTGTAGTTCGCATGGGCCCTTTCTGTCCCTTCTAGTGATGGGCAAACTACTTATAAATAAGGAAATGAAAAGATCCTTTGTAAAAGTCAGTAAGGTTGCAGATTCTGACTTAGCCACTGCAGGGCAGTCCATGGCTAAGAATGTAAAATTACTTCAGACACAAAAAAGCAAGCTGCCCCCAAAAGAGAGTTTGTACTTCATCAAGTAGAGGATTTTACCTCTGAGAAGAATGAATGCTGGTATTTCCCCACAGACACCTGCATGCTCTTAGTAAGCACTGAAAAAAACCTATTCTGACAGGAATTTACATGCATACACAGGATGGTATTCCTTACAGTGCTCTGGATCATAGCAGCCCCTTCAGTTTTGGTGCTGGGTCAGCACTGCCCATAAACAGGCTCCCAAGCAGGTGCTGTCAGAGAATTCTTACTTACAAGTGCTCGGCAGTTCCAGGTCAAACTGTACATGTCAAACCTCCACCCCTTTCTGCACTCTTAGTCACCTTAGAACTTTGCAGTTCAGTTCACACCTGTATTTCCATTGGAACAGGATGACAAAATTGAACAGATTAAACTTTTTCCAGCAGAGAAATCTACAGATAGACTTTTGGTGAGAAATGAAGAAAAGAAGCTTTAACTGTGTATTCCTACAAAGAGAGCAGTAGGGACGGTGAGCAGCACTTTTGCTCCTTCCTACAACTCTCTTGGAACTAAATAGAGACCTGTCCTACCTGATCCTATGGAGCATTTTGTTTCTTAAGCAATAGCTGTTGGGTCTGCAGGTCACAAGCAGAGATTCATCTGGAAAACCCAGGGGACAAACTGAAGAAATCTCTCACAAGACAATGACAGCCCTTTAGGGGCTCAGAGGATATGATGGAACCTTATGACCCCATTGTCTCCCAGGCAGGACCTACTGCAAGGGACACTGACAGCTTCATAAAATGCATTGGTGCTGGAAGTGAATGGGCTTGACTCCCTATGTCCTCCAAGAATGACTCCATTCACCAGGAACTTCCTTGTCTTCTGGAGTCTGGCAAGGGAGCAGTATCAAGAGCCCCAGCAGAGTTCAGTGTCCTGGTTTCGGCTGGGATAGAGTTAATTTTCT